AGTTGAGTTTTGAACTTCCAAGATTTTAAACTTGAGTAGAAAGTACAAGTTGGTACTTGTTTTCTGCTCAAACATATCATAGTAGTTCTGTGAGTTTTGTTATAAAAAAATTTGTATCATATGATTGAATAGCTGGGGGCTTATCTAAATTATAGTCGGCATCTTTTCTTTCCCTAACTCTTTTATTTCCTCTCCACACTAAGGTGTCATGGTCCAAAACCTCCTCCTAATCCAGAGTTTACACTGAAGCCAAAGAAAAAGAAGATAATGCAGCGCACTGAAGGTGTTTCTGGCACTCCCTGCCCTCCTTGTCCTGAACTTGTATGGAGATCTTGTGTAGGGCAACACATTGGAGCAGAGAGAATGGTTTGTTTTACTTCTTCTCTTAAGCTGTATGTTAACATCTTGACTAGGAAGATTCTTCTGAATGATTTTGTTCAAATTCAATTTGCATTCATTTTCTCTTGCGCCTTTAATGAAATTTTCTCCCCCCTCCTATTAGATGGTCTGCTCTGATAGGTTGCAGTTTCACTGTGAAAATTTGTGCGGAAACCCTCTATCATGCGGCAATCATTTTTGTACTAAAACCTGTCATACCTTAGAGAGACTGTCTTCCTTGAACCGGCTACAGAGAAGTGAGCCTTGTGAAGATTGTTGTCTTCCATGCCAAAAGGTGGTGAACATTCTGTTTCATTATATATTAGTCTCCATTGTGCTGTTTTCTTTCTCATTTATTGGTTTTTTTGCTGCGAAACTATCATCACATTGGTTGAGTTAAGCTAATGAAGCTTATCATTTATCTTCATTTCTGAAGTTCAGAAATGATCTCTTTACTTTCTAAATTCAACTATAATTTTCGTTTTTGCATTAAACTTCATTGATCAGGTAAGAGAGCCTAAGTGTCCACATCACTGCCCTCAGCCTTGCCATCCTGGAGAATGCCCTCCATGCAAAGTGCTCATTAAACGGTCTTGTCATTGTGGCTCAATGGTCCATGTTTTTGAGTGCATTTACTACAACAGCTTGTCTGCCAAGGATCAAGAGACTGTTCGATCATGCCAAGGACCTTGTCACAGGTAATTTGGAGCCTGGAGCGAGTATTATTCTTGATCTAATTTATCATTCGGAAACAGTTTTAACTGAAAAAGTAGCAGATAGATGCTTAACCAGATGATTGAGAGCTTATTGGTCAACTTGGTTTTGCAGAAAGTTGCCATATTGTACACATCTGTGCCCTGAGACGTGTCATCCTGGTCAATGCCCATATCCTAATAAATGTTGTAAAAAGGTAATGTGAGATAATATAGTTATCACTTCATGGTTCGGTATTTAAGATACATAACTCACTACAATGAGACAGGTCTAAGTTTATGCACTATCCGATTCCAGCTGCTGCAAAGTAGATGCACCTATTATTGAATGCATTGATCTTCAGAACTGAACTCTTTCTTTGCCAGGTCACTGTTCGTTGCAAATGCCAAACTCTGAAGAAAGAGTGGCTATGTCAAGATGTTCAAGCAGCCTATCATCGTGATGGATGCCATCCCAGAGATATACCAAAAAATCACTTTGGAATTGGACTTATTCCTTGCAGTTGTGATTGTAAGAGTAAAGTGCAAGTTGTTGAGTCAGATCTACAATTACGTAAATCCCGAGTTATGGAGGTGACTTTCCACATCGAAATCCATCTGCTATCCTAGGGTTTTTGACTCTCTAGTTGTGTTGTACTTGTGGAAATTTAGCTTTCCAAAGAATGTATTCTTGTCGTCATTGCCGGTGAAGTTGGTTACAAATTTATTATGTTGAGTATACTGAAATAAGCTGCGATTGGCAAAATGTACATGCAGAGACGGCTGCATATGAAGATTGATAATTCTTTGACTATTCTGCAAAATCAGTACCAAAATGTGTGAGAAGTTCTAATACACTTTTGTATGATTAATGAAGGAAAAAGCACCCGAGACTGGAAAGTCAGTACCCAAGCGACGGAAAAGGCGGGAGCGCATACAGGAGTCCAGCCAATCAACAAAACTGCAGGTATGCCAATTCTCTAAAAGAAACAGTAACTTCCAATTTTTTTCGTTCCCAACTAAGATGAAGGCAATCATTGAACAGAAAATTGCATCTGCTACGAAGCGGTTTCTTCTATTTGTCCTTCTCTTTGTGGCCCTTCTTGCTGCTTTATACTATGGTTACAAGGGTCTTTTATGGCTCAATGATTGGATGAATGAAGTTGATGAGCGAAGACAAAGAAGATATTCTCGAATCTCATGAAATATGATAGTTAATTTTATCCACCCATGAGGAGAGTGCCCCAACATGCATCCAGTGCATGCCTTGGGTTCTTTTTTCATACCCAGTGGAAATAATGACCCCACAGATTCTTTGCGTCCCGTTTGTTTTGTTTTGCTTTTGAAAGAAGAAACTTTATCTATCTATTATACCAAGTTGATGGTGTTTAAACATGATAGTTTTGAAGTGTCACTGCTCATCATCATGAACTTAAAGGTGGAAATGCCTTTCCAGTTTTAGCCTTATATGTAGTTTTATTTCCTTCAGCCAGGACATTTTTTAGTTTTTCTTTTCTTTTTTTTGGGATAAATTTAATGTTCTTCAATGAGAAGTTTTAAAAGTTTTCATCAACATGAAGGGATGGCATCAAGAATACATAGGGGTTGGTTGTTGGCTCAGGAGACATCAAATAAACTGTCTTTTTGACATCTTAGTTTGACTAGAATGGATGATGATGAGTCTTCTTGTTCCATTCTGAGTATACTTTCTCCTAACCTATTTGGTTAGTTTAACTGCGTTAATGTTCCGTCTTTTAAAAAAATACAATTAATTAAATGCAATAAATACTTAATATTCATGTCAAGGGAGAAGGGCAGAATTGAAATGAAATACTAATTGTTTCATCAGCTTTGTAAAAAGACGGACTCAAGAAGTTTCTAAAAGCTTATGAATGGTAATGGTGTGTATTATGCCGGAGTTTCTTTTCATTACTTGTTTTTTTTCTAAATAAATGATGTAAATGCCGAAAGATAGTTGGATCTGGTGCACTACGGCATTCATGATATATCTAATATTAAATAAAATTGCGTTATCATATTTAATAACTTTATTAATCAAATGTTGTGAAGAAAGTGGGACTTCATGCCTTTTGATTTGTCGAACGCACAGTTGTGCTCTGCTCTGAGAGTCAACCCAGCATACTCTGAACCCTGAGGAGTATGATGTTTTGAAAACTGAATCGGCTATTAAATTGTATGAGATATCAATTTATGGTTTAATGGTCAAATTATAGTTTAAATAGAAGTCCAATCGATCATAAATAAATTAATATATTTTACATATTATATATTTAAAGTAAAAAAAATAATTATATATAATGAGAAAAGTGAATGTATAAATTTCAAAAAAGATAATTTATAATTTATGACATCATTTTCATCTTAAATATATATAATTATTTCATAATTTATAATTTATAATTTTAAAATAAATGCGCACGCACACACACACATATATATAATTCATACATATTTCTTGTATTTTTTTCATTTCATCATGTTTATTGGGTATAAATATGTATAAATTATATTTTAAAAATATGAATTAAAAATAAAAAAATAAAAAAGTAACATTGCCGGTTGAACCTGTTTTTTGTTGGTTTTGGTCGATTCACAACTGGTTCATCCGGTTTATAAACATTTCGTTAAAAAGGTGATTTTTAGTTGTAATTGAATCGGATTTATGATCAATTTCTGGTTCAATCAATCAGACTGGCTAGTTTGGTTTGGTTGTGATAACAGTGGAGGAGCATTTAGCCTAGGTTACCAAAACCCCGATCCAATTTTATCCACAAAGAAGGGAATCGCCTGCTGCACGACTCCACGTGGAAGTGTTTCCAAATTCACTGTGTATCTGATTCGCAGTAAATGTGAGCCTCATAATTGCATATAGCTTAAGGAATACGTTGTAGTATTTGTGAATTATAACTAAGGTGACCTTTTTAAGCATGTTTGGATGTTACATACTGTTGGATAGTGCAGAGGGGCGGGCCAAGCTAGAAATGATTTTCCCTCACGAGGAAAATAATAAACATGCTGTTTGAAACTTGGGGTGCTACCCAACTATTAATTAATATTATTACCTAATTTCTTTAATAACTACTGTACATATATGACTATGAGTAGTCTTTTTATTCAATCCAAAAATTTTGACTTGGATCCGTTTGAATTATTGCATAGTGCAGTACGAGAGGAAAAGAAAAGCTGAGAGGTAGCCATGTTCCATAGTTACGGTCCCATGGGTGGGGAATAAAAGGACTGATTTTGGACAATTCCACACCAAATTAATTGATCTTAGCTGAACATAATTAGTCAGGAACCACTACTAGGGAAAGATCAATCACTTCAACTAATCTATTTACGCGGTATAAGTTGGAATGAACACTCAATGACTCTGAATGAGAATAGGAATGATTTTATTAAATGTTTGATATGACTGAAAAGAAGATAGGACCATGACTGCATTACTATATTTGGTAGAATAGAAGAGGAAAAAATACATCTAAGAAACTGTGAAAAAAATTATTCACAAATAACAATCAATAATAAATCACCATTTAAAAAAACAAGTATATATTCTCATTTCAACAATCAATTTCATATTGGTTATTGTCTATAGATAACAGTCTTTATAGGTCCTAAATGTGATTTTCTCATATAAATATGAACGGAATTAAAGGGGCAAATGAGCCTTATTGTTCTCCTGCATTGAACAGTATCATTTCATGAAAAATTTGATGAAATGATTAAAGTCAAATTTGATGGAAAAGGAACGGGAGAAAGATTTCAATTCCTTCGTACCAAAAACATAGTAATTCTCCATTTTATCACCTTATTATTCCATTCCATTCCATTGAATTCCCTCACACCAAACCCTGCGTCCCACGTATCACTAAAAAAACAATTGACACTGTGAACAAAGCAATGCAATGAATACTTTAACTGCTAATAATTATAAATAAACAGTTGTACAAGAGACTAACAAGATTCATTACATTGCGGCAGATTGCAAGCCTATAAACAACATTAACATAAGAATCAAACTTCTATAGATGTAGATACATAAATGGCGAACGGTTTTGACTACAAGAAGCAGAATCTGAAACCTCTAGATTTCCCAGAAACAAATTGATGCTATATAGAAGGTCTATTTCTTCCACCGACCGATGTTGCTTCCAGCAATAAAACTAAAAATTGTACAAAAAGCAGTAGAGTTTGATTCCAAAAAATGTTAATCCTACAATGTCCAACAGGAAGCGGGAATTCCTTGCTTTTGAAACCACTCAGGCATTTGGTACTTCTCGTAGAGCACAGGTCTTACATCCTTCTGCTCAGAGAGGTGCTTGAGAAGAGGAAGAATGACATCTAGAAGCTGATAATAAGCCATAAAAACAACAGAGACGAATAAATAATATAAAATCAGAGGGCTATTTTTGAATGTTCAACGGTCCAGATCCATGTACCTGTGTGTCATGTGGTTGCCCAGCAGAAAACGGGGCGCATGGAATTCCATTTAGTGGTTGCAATAAAAAGCTGAAGGGATTGTTGTCAACAATAACTATTCGGCACAGATCCTTTGATATTCCAGAAAGATCTTTCACATGTTCCCTATATTGCCTGTCAAGAGAGATTAATGTACCAGTTGATGTGAGAACTTGAATGAATAGATAAACTTAAATTTAATCAGTGAGAATTCTCGCCGACAGTTTTTTCCCCGTAGTGGCACAAATTTCTTCCAATTATTTATGAAGTAGACTGCAGTTAAAATTTGACAAACACCAGTGGTAAAAATGCATCGGCATCAAGAAAGTCTAAGTTCTAAGAACAATACTTTCCCAAAAAAAAAAATCCAGTTTGTGTATGATTTGTTGAGTAGTCATTTATGTTATACAAAAGATATTACTACCTCCAGACCTATTTATAAGAAACAATCAATAGTTAAACAAATAGGCCCTGCGCTAGCATAAAGTTGTAATTGCGTATATTGCCCGTCAAATGCTCACATGTTCCCCATATTGCCAGTTTGTGTGTGATTTGTTGAGTGGCCATTTATGTTATTTCCAAAGATATTCTTCTTAAATTGTAATTGCCACCGGAGCTATAAAGATTTTACATTTAATTGCTTAGATACTTGGTCTTGGATTTATTCAGTAATTTTCATGTTTCTAGATCATGGAGTTTATTTGTTAGGACGGGGTCTTAATCCTCATAGGATTATGATTTTACTCTCACTGAACATTCAGGCTTCTTGTTGTTGAACATTCAATTCACAAAATTTTCACCATTGACTCACCCTAGAAATCCAATTTCTAATCTACAACATCCGTTGTGAACAAGTCCAACATCCCTTGCTGTCCAAGGCCAACATCAACCATGTCTCATAAAGTGAAGTGACATGATGTGAACAAGAAAAAGTTGGATCCACCATGTCAGAATAAGCGGGTATTCCATCAGTGATGTTAATATTAAATCATCTCCGGTGAAGCCATGAAGACATAGGTCAGTACTAAGGAATCGTAACTATATTAAGCATAAAAAACAGTAATGAGTAACAGTAATCATTCAATATAGTCAAAATGTTACCAAAAACAAAAATACAAGAAAAAAAAGGTTAATTTAAATTGAAAAACTGAAAGCATATCTCAAATCAAAAAGTATATTTCTAAATCACGAATTGAAGAATGTGTTTGAATCATAAAATTGAATAACAAGTAAAAAAATTAGTTCGAAAATAACATATATGGATATTCTTATCTCAAGCATATATTATAGCATAAAATACTCAACTAGTAAATTTAACCCAAGAATAAAGAAAAGTACTAAACTATAAGTCATAGATAAACTCGTAGGTCACAAATTTGCACGTATATAATTTTTCAAAATAATTCCAAATGTATTCTTAGCTTTCTTTGTAAGAGGCATGGAAAATACTCGATGACAGCATAACATTGTCATAGCAATCATTTTTTTCGCACATTTTTGTTTCGTAGAACTGTGCAACTTTGCCACGGTGGTTCGAATCACACATTCATAAGCAATTTGAGACTACTTTTGATCAGCCATCAATTCATATAGTTGAACTTCTAATTCCTTATGATCCGTGACCCTATGATAACTAATCAGGTAGACGTCGAATTCTGAATGAAAAGCAAGGTAGAAGCATTTACGTGCTAGTTGTTGAGGGTCTATAAAGTCGTAGACTAAACCAGTTTTCCGTGTCTAATCTGTCAACAAGGGGTCTGGCATAACCTGTGAGAATAAATAGATGAATATTATTTCGCAAAACGGTAAAAACTCCCAGGAAAAAGAAGAAGAAGCACATGAGCAGCTCAGAACTGTGATGCAAACCTTCAAGACCAGCAGTGAATAGCACCAAGTCAGCAAATACACTAAGTTGCCTTAAGAATTCCTTCAAACCAGGACGTTCAAAAACCGTAACATAATTGACATTTGGTTTTCCATCTCCTTCCTTGAAAGTTCAACATGCTCAAGTAAATACATAATATTCAGCTCTAAACAAGCCAATGCAAGATATCAAGTAATACACCTTATCTGAAGATATACATTCCAGTTCAAACCAATTCAAACCAGCTTCTATTGCTTGAGAATGAAGTGTGGCTGGTAAACTTGACGTCTCATATGCACAAACCAATGTTTCATCCAAATCAAGCACTACCTACAAATGCACATGAAATCGGAATCGACATTAATAGCAGGAGTCTTGTGTTAACATAGGAAAATAAGATTCGGGGTTCAAGTAGGCAGGAGGGAGAAGTAAAAAGGGAAAAAAAATGAAAATAATGACACTTGATAAAATCTTACAACAGTCATCATAACTGAAAAGAAAAAATGACCCATCTTACTTGGCTTTTACCAGTCATGAAATAGTTGTAAGCAGCATGTTTTGCAATTATATTCACAATTTTACTTAAATATTATTCACACAGGTATATTGGAAGTTAGTTCTCTTCAGCAGAGTGGTATAATATTATTTTGTCACTCAAACAAATCAAATAGTATTTGTCACTCATCTTTCATATCGATCCATAGCCCCTTAAAAGAGTTGCATTTTGCCACTTCGAAAAATTCCACAAATCAACAGGACCATGCCAGTTAGCTGCTCAAGTGAAACTAGCTTGACATCCAGAAATATGGACAAAAAAAGGAATCACCACAGAATCAGAAAGCAGAAACAATCAATAGAGCAACAGCAAGCCAACGAAATGGTGGGCTGCTAGAAATATTTGCGCTTTGAGTATGTGGGCATAAGAAACACGATCTCCATAAATGAATGCGAAGCATATTGAAGTTATAAATGGAGTAAACTAAAAAGGACAAGGACATGCCACCAGGGCACCTTCAATTACATTCTACTGATCTATTTTTGCTAGCAAATTCACCCATGTAATATGGTTACCGATCTTCATCATCTACTGAAAGTAATTTTACCTCCCTCTGTAGTTGTAACATCACAAAACAAAAGGCTTTTCAAATTCCCCCGTTTCAGCTGCCAACTTGTTGCCAAAGTGCTCGCTTTGGTAGAGTCAAATAACAACGTAACTATCATATACGCGTCAACATCCTCCTAAATAGTTCATTCGAGTCTATGACAACTATCTTAGAGAAAATTTCATCAAGCATATCGAATGTCTAGTCAATCGTCTTTCCATCATCCAAATAACTTGAATTCTACTAGAATTTGTGGTGATCATGGATAGTAAATACAAACATAAGCATCCCACGCAACGCCCAATTCAAAACCTTCTGTCTATTCCCAAAACCGAGGAGCGAAAACAATTTCAAAAGAATCGCAAATCTTTCCTACCGTGAGTTTTCGGACAGACCGATCGTTGACGCCGGAATACTCCGCAGCGGTGATATCAACAGCGGAGGATGGCGGCAAATCAGATTCCTGCAACTCAACGGTGGGCAGAGGTTTAAAGGAAGGAGCAGAGGAAGAGAAGGAGAGTAAAGGGTAGTGGCCGAGAGCTGTAATAATTTGGAAGAAGATATGGAAGAAGGCGGCTAACCAGCTCAACAGTGCCCTCCAGACTTGATGAGTCCTCGGCGAGTATACCTCCGCCTGAGTCAACTCGCCCATATGGATCGATTCTTCCCCACCACACAACAACTACGATGGCTTATAGTGCTGATATTACTTATTAGCGTCTCTGTATATACGTTTGACTCTCCAGGGCGCGACGGTGGTGATACGACAAGATATAGAAAGGAGAAGAGATATCGGAATGCGCAGAGGTGGCGCGTGTATTGGATAGACTGAGGGAATGAATTGGTGATCACAGGATCTGGTAACTAGTTCCGGCGAGAGGCGACAATCGAGCCATCGAGGAGAGGAAACAGGACGCGCAATGGGGAGCATGGGGAGAGGGATGGTGATGAGAATTCACAGCTATTTAATAGGTTTAAAATTAAAATAGAGGTTGCTAGGCTCTTCAAAATAAATATCTTTTCAAATTTTTTGGAGACTCTAACTCTTATTAATTGCAACCGGACAGATAATTACTCTCTTTCAGCTATTATCAGCAGCATTAAAAATATCATCATACGGGATTAAAAGATCATGTTTGATCATATTTACAAATGAGCTAATAGATGCGCCAATTTTTTGGCTCATAAGGCGCCCAAGGAACACTTTAATATTTTATTATTTGACAGATCACCTAATGATTATAAGAGTCTCATGACCTCTAACTTAATCTAATTTTACTTTTTTTTCTACAATTTTAATCATGTCCTTGTATTTCAAAAAAAAATTAAAATAGAGGAAACTTTGCTATAGAAGAGAGAATCAGCCAAGGTGATGAGACAATGTTTGGGTCTTTGTTCTAATTGAAAAAATTCTTGTAAAGACTGCTCCACATCATTTATGTTTGGTGGAATAAAAATGTATCATATTATTCCCCATTTTATTTATGGAATACATTTTAAAAAATTTATTTGATTCTATTTATAAATTACATTATAATTTTTAAAATAATATTTAAAATATATTTTAAAAATTATCTTTTGTAAGAGAAAAAAGATAACATGAATTTTTTTTTTACATTGAAGCATATTTAAAATTTTTTATATTTTTATTCCTTTTTCTTTTTTTTTACATTAATATTTGTGAAATCGGTAAAAGTAACTTGTAAAAAGAACCAGAAAGTATCATATAACTTTAATGCTATGTTTGACAAGAGAGAAAACAAAAAGGTGGGAGAAAGAGAAAAGTAGAAGAAAATAGCATTTTCTTCTATCTGTTTGGCTATGAAAAGAAAAGTGAAAAAAATAATATGTATAAATTATATGTTTTTATCTTTAACTTTTTTCTTCAAACATAGAGAAATTTTAAAAAGAACATTTCATTTCCAAATTTATCTATCAAATTTTAATTAACAAAAATCTAGGATCAAAATCACCACAAATATAAAATCTAAAAATTGGTGGGTAAATTTGAAAATAAAATTTTTATGGTGATTTTGATCATAAATGATTTTGATCACGGATAGTATTTGTCTAATACTAATTCTAAATTTTTAATTACATTTTTTATATTTGGTTGTAGTTTCAAAATTTTAAGATTATTATATATTTATTATTTTAACAAATAAAACTATAAATTAGATAAAATAGTTTTTAGTCAATATTGGACAAAGTAACTTATCATTATATTTTTATTCAATCAATAATATATGATAAAAATAATTATATATAATATGTTAAAATATTAGATTTTATTATATATAAAAATATTTTTATAAATAATAAGGTTATTATTATTCATATAAAATTAATAATATTTTTTTCCTGTTTTCACAACGGGAGAAAGCTGCATCCCTATACTTTCTTCTTCTTTTTTCCTATTTTCCCTTATGAACCAAGCACAACAAAAATATAAATTGATTATATTATTAATGATGATAAAAATAAAATAAAATATTAAAGAGACACCATTTTAAAAATAAAATAATTAAAAATAATGACACATAAAATTCTATTTTATTAAACTACGCATCATAACATGTTTTTATTAAATAAACATAACTAATGTAGAGTATCCTCGTTCATATAAGAATTTCTCATTCAAAAGAGGTGATCCTCCTCCATTGTCGCTATCACCAATCCGCGGGTAGATTGGTTCAATTCATAATTATTTATTCATACATTTTTTGAATTGAATAATTACTTACACAAGGGAGTATTTATCAAATTAACTATCTGTGATTCAAATTCAATCATTATAAGTTACAGATAGGGTTAAAATTAAAAATGAATGCCATTTGTTGAAACGCTCAACTTCTATCTAATTCATTGAATCTTGGGATTGTCTCCTTCAAAATTTTCCAAACAAATTTTGGGCTTCATTGATTACAAATTCCCAATCCCTGCAAGATCTAGTTTATCCACAAAATAAATTCTAGACATCTTAGAGGCTGAAAGTTGTTGATGCCGCCATGGTTTTAGATATTATTCTTTTCCTTAGGGCACTAACTTTAGATATTCTTCACAAATTCCATGTTTGTTCAAATCATTCCCATTAAGGTTCCAAAAAAAAAATCATTTCATTCCCACCGCGTCTCGATAGTAAACACCAAATTTTGCTTGGAAGTTGGGGTGATGGAGCTTGCGAGGTTGCCTCGTTGATATCTTCACTCTTATAAGGTTTTTCTTCCACACTCAAAATTGTACCTGTTTTTCTCACCTTGTCATAAACACGTGAGTGACGTGACATTTAAAATATTTTATCTAATCTTATTTATGAAATACTTTTAACATGTTTTATCAAAAATAAAAAAAATAAAACTTATTAACTTTATTTAAAAATTTAATAATTTTTTAACTTCATCCCTTTTAAATAAATATATATATATATATTGATAATATATTTTTTCTCTTCAATATTTAATAGAGATAAAATGAAATTTTTTTAATGAAAATCTAATAAGGTGATTTATAAATAGGACAAAAAAATTTTCTTTTCTACCATAAGAAGTACATCATAATTATTTTTATGACTTGAATAATATAAATTTTTTAATATTGATTAATTTTTATGCATCATAAGGATCATTTAGATAATAAAATTCTATCTTGATTTTTTTTTTTTATTTCAATCCACGTTTTTGTCTTTCGTCAGGGCAGATGAAGATTACAAAATTGTCATTGGGTTGACCGTTTCTCAAATGAAATCGTGCTATCAGGCAAATTCATGCACTAACTCATTGGTAGCACTTGGATTATATTACTTCTATCATATATTATAAAATATTTTTTTAAAAAAAATTAACATTTCAAAATATAAGATATTTTAATAAAAATAAAATTTCATTAATTATACTTTTTTAACATTATCAATTTTATATATTCTCTTTCTTCAATATTCTTTTATTAATAAAATATTAAATAAAAAATATTTTTAAAAGTTTATATTTTTATCTTAAAAAGTAAAATGATAAAATGTATTTAATAAATTTCACTGATATATAAAATTTTATTTAAAAGTATTTTATAATTTATGACGAAAAAAGTACTATATTAATCACAAATAACTAAAACTATTTTCCTTCTTTTTGTATAGACATAACAATAACAAGGTCAGATTGTAAATAAATTATTTTAAGCTTAAGCCTTTGTATTCCCAACATTTAGAATCACCTTTTCTTTTCTTTTTTTCCTTTCCTTTTCTTTTTTCCTTTCTCTTCTTGTTGAGCAGTGCTCAGTCTCCCCATACTAGAGAGTAAAGACAAAATCAAAGGGCATATTGTCCTGTACAAAAGAACAAAATTTAATCAACAGAAAGAGAATAAAAAATGCACAAGAAAAAGAAGCAAAATAATTCAGTTGCTCTTCAATACAATCGAAACCCAAAATTGTGACTGCAATTTCCAGTATGCAAGATGCTTAACTTCCGTCCAGGAACTAAATGGATGCTCTACTGGGAGTCATAAGCATGTGCAAGCCATGGATGCTTGAGTGCCTGTCTTGCAGTTGGTCGCCTTATGGGATTGGTGCTGAGCAAGAATCTGACAAAGTCAATAAACATCGTGTCAGAAACCTGCAGGTGCTGCTCCAAGGACCATTCCTCTGGAATTATGTACTCCAATTGGTTTGTCTCCTATGAACAATACTAGGAAATGTTAGAAACATTTGAGATGGAGATTTGCTGACGAATACAGCTCGGTACTAATATATCTGGATTTTTTTCGTTGCGGAATCTTTCTACCTTATTCGAATTTTATTCAGTATAGACATGAACAACTTTGACAGCGGAGCCCAATATGGAATCTTAAATTTTATCAGATCTAGCAGAGAAAACGCATAAATAAGAACCGTGCTCATAAATCAGCAAAAGAATAGAACTAGGTCTAGATGCTGAACAAGTGAGTCAAACTGGGACACACACATCATTTAGAGCTAAAAATGCAAATGCTGAAATTCTGATTCTAAAAGCGGATAGTCATGAAGCAGTTAGAATCGGGGAACGAACCTCATTTACATGGTAAATATCATATTCTTTTGTGAAATATTTGCATGTTTCCTGCCCCCTCACTAACATCTCCAGATCAATAGGACCAAGCATTCCAATCATGCGCGCAAGAATTATTGTAACAGCTTCATTTGGAAAGAGCACCTTGAGAAGACACAAACACTAGATTAACAACCAGCACATTTCTCCAAATTTTGTAGTGTGCTAAGAAAGCCACATCTGTCTGGGCTGCATAAAATATAAAAATATCATACTGAGGCAAATTAGGACATACTTCACCAGAGCATAGCTCAGCCAAAATACAGCCAAGAGACCATATGTCAATCTTTTCATCATATTGGAGGCCTAGCATCACTTCAGGGGCCCTATAGGATCGTGACTGTACATAGAGGCATAAATTGTCTGATTGGAAGCAACTGCTACCTAGATCAATAATTTTAATCTCACATCTTTTGTAACTTCTAATAAGAATATTTTCTGGCTTCAGGTCACAGTGAATTATTCCCAAGCTATGCAAGTATTGCAAGGCCTCCAAACATTGACGAGTAATGAGCTGCAAATAGTAATAACACAACTCAATCATTTTGTTCTGAAAATTCCTCACCAAATGAAACTTCCATAAAACTGAAATTGCTAATTTAACCATCTAACAGTAGATTATCAATGTTATAGAGACAAATATTGTTGGTCAGAAATATCAAGAGACCTGAGGTGTTCTAATATTTAAACAAAATAAAATAGAAGCAATTATATAGAATAGCCACAGAAGTTCTAAGTCTAATTGAACAAACCTGCAACCTGTTCAATGTAAAATATGCCTCACCACCAGATTCTTGATTGTATTTTTGAAACTCATATAGGTTTGCTCGCAGAAGCTCAGTAACAATGAATAGATGCTCCTATGACGTTTCCAACTAAGACTAATCAGTGACAGTTAAAAGTGAATCGGAAGCATCAAATATAATATAGCTTACATGAAAGCAATCCCAGTTGCATGTTCAACCTTCAAGGAATACCTGATGATAGAAATAATCATAAAGTCGCAATATGTGGTGTTCATCAGCTGGGTCATTCTTATTGACAAGCTTTAGAAGTTTAATTTCATCCAAGCTTTGGTCAAAAAAGTCTTTGTCATTTTTTATAATCTTCAAGCAGACATCTATTCCTGTCAGAAGATCATGTGCCTGAACAACCTTACTGAAGGCAGCCGAACCCAGATATTCTGTTACATAGTACCTGCCGCCTATGACTGAATTCAGCACAATGAGCAGATCCTTGCTTTCTTCAAATCCAGTCCTGTAGATGAAACAATGTAAAACCGAAGGTTAAATGAAAACGCAACACCAGTGAATCTCTGTAAAGAACTAACAAGCAAAAGCAGATAAACATGATTCAGGCCAAAAATAAAACGGAGATAGCCACCACAATATGAATTTGACCGCAAAGAAATTCTAAGTCGATACCAAACTGAGCAAACACAGAGAGCTAAGGAAGTGATAGTTAATTTGAAGTTTTATCATTTCCTACATTTACAATTAATTATTCATTTGTATTTTCATGAATACTAAAATGATGGGAATGAAACCATCAAACACAACAATATGAAACAAACCTGTTCTTTCTATGTATAATTCTCAGGTCAAATACTTCATATTCATCCTCGTGAGTGTACTTTAATAGCTCATCATCAGTAACATCCTCTCCATCTGCTGCATTTTCTGGATCTAGGCATTCTTCAGTGAATTCTCCACAATCTTTAGCTTTATATCTGGTGAGTCCATTTGGCAGGTCAGTTTCAGCAACTTTGATAGTTAAGTCATAGGGAGCTTTGTACCCCTTATTGCCATTATTGTTAGGATAGAAGTCAAAAGTTTGGTTCATAGAATGCTCTGGAGCAGAATCAGTAGAGGAACTATCCCCAACAACCTTTAAATGCAAATCATTCAGATGAATTTCCTTTAAGCTTAGGTAGCTGTCATTACCAGGATCCCCACTACAAGACTCTCCTGAACCTGCAGAGTATTTGCTAAATGGAACATCACAATTATTGACAAAGGTAGGATTCTCAACCTCTCTAACTAATCCTCCTTCAAGCTGCTCTTTCTTATCAGCATGACAATAGTCTTTTAAACAAGTCACATTCTCATTTCCTACATCAGAACGATTATAAAGGCATAGTCTGTCCATGCAATCACCATTTCTCTCCACTTGGAATGCTTCACTTTTGTAATTATTTTCCAGAAGATTTTCATGTTGATTCTCCATTTCTGATGTCAGGATGAACTTATCCTCACTTTGACCTCCAAAGAACTCTGGTCCCTCAAAACTGGGGGTCATGAAATCATCATCATCTTTCTCATTATACAAGTATGGTTCATTTTGCATGTCAAAGTCATGGTAGTCACGTGCTGTGTCAAATTGAGATAATCTATCTGACGAAGATTCAGAATCTTTGTGAGTTTGAGATGAGGAGCGAGTTCCATATGGATTGATGAATTCTGTAAAACAAGGTTTCAGGACACTCAGATGCATTGTGACTAAAAAGGGGAAAAGAAAGTAAAATGATCTTTCTGAAGAAAATACTGTAGTGAGCGACAGGCTATAAACATATAGAATTGGCTAATAATTTTGATCATTTATGAAGTATGTGGCCACATACTTGTATGTGAGCAACTTATCAAATGTTAGCCGAGATTGATATTTCTTAACATACTTTTTTCACCAACAACATCCTTTGAACAGCCACGCAAAAGAACGCAACTGGGGAAATGATATGAACATGAATCAAGAACAAATAAGAGATGATTATGTCAGCTGTGAGAGAGAGAGAGGGAGAGGAAAATTTTGGGGATGCCAGTCTTAAGTTAGATTGTTCATTGTGTGATCCAACATACACAAATAGAAGCACCAAACACATTGAATTCTGTTGAAAACCAATTATTCAACTTACGCAGAACATGAAAGAACATTTCAACGATCAAATAGAGCAGATGTTTATGACAAAAATCTCGTCACTTAAGACCAGATCACAGAGAATTAAAATGCTCATTTGTATAATGACCTAACTTTTAACTGGTTTCAAATATATGAAGTGGATGCGCTTAAACGATAATAAACATAAAGCATTAATTTCAGAGTTTTTCTTCTCCTTCTTTATTTAGCTAAGCAGCAGAACGGAGCACAGTCATCAGTAAGCCACTAAGCCCCGCATTACTAGAATACATAATGATCATTGATGAACGTGAGCAAGTAACTGGGAATAAACAGATCACTAAAGGATAAGCCAATAATAAGGAAAAGAAATACCCGCACAACAAACGCCCGAAGTAGATGACCCCAAGCTCACAAACTCATCGTCCGACGACTTAGAGCTTGCTTTCGAGCAATCTCTGCCATACTGCCTATCCAAAAATCGAGAAAACGATTTGACTCTGACCGGCGGCGGAGGCGGCACCATCGGGAAGAAGAATTTCTCGTAGTCGAACGACCCCGTCTCACCATTTTCTATGATGTCCTCTTTAAGGGCGGACTCTGCCTCTGTGAAGCCATTGTTCCTCAAGAATTCTAGGACAGCTCCGACGTCGGAAGCAGCCATGAGTACGAGAATTCAAAGCAGGAGAAACAGCTGAAGCTGGCTGAGCTGAAGGGGCAACATCTTGGGAATTAAGGAAACAGAAAGGGACAGAATTGTAATAAACAGCATGGTTCGGGATGTGCATGCTCGATTGGAATAGAGAAAGAGGCAGAGAAGAGAGAGATTCAAGGTCTCGTGTTTCTGTAGGGAGGGGTTTGTGTGTCTAACGTCTTGTTAACTTTCAAAAGGGAACGAAGGGCGTGGATTGTGATCGTGAGAGGATTTGGTTTGGTGGGGCCCAAACTATTATGAGTAAGAACACAAGACTCGTGGAGGAATAATCATCTGTTCATTTACTGCCCAAATACGGTAGGAAGTCAACATTTGGGTAGGACCCTCTAATTTCACCCTCTCACGCACACCCTCTCTCTCTCTTTCTCTATATTATTAATGACAATTCTTTTCTCGAACATCTTCCAGAATCCAGACTCAAGACGTATTTTATGGGTTTCTTTGAAGGAAAATACGAATCAAGTATCACTAAAACATATTTGCATTGGTTAAGGATTAATAAATTTTTGAAATTTTATTGCTTTCCGTTAAATATTGACTGATATTAATTTTTATATAAAATGATCAAATTATTTTTTAAACATAAAATAAAATAAAAGCCATTTTCATTATCAACATTGGAGATCCTACCATCATGAGGTTGGTGAATCCTTATACTAGAACTTCGACGCCAATGAAACTTTTTTTTTTTAAATTAACAAAGGTAATTAAAGGAGTTTTGAACACCTAAAAAGCTTGATAGCAACCAAACCCATTTAATTATATATGAAAAAAGAAAATATATAGTAGTCAAAGTTTTTAAATCACTTTCATATTATAACACAGTAGTGAATTGTTAATTTTAGAACAATACTTATTATTTTACTAAAATTACTTGTTAATTAAATTTTACTTGTTAAAGTTTAAATATATTGTTAATCATGATATGTTGTGTGTGAAAATAAAAATAAATACTTGTTAACAAATAACTAATTAAACCCATTCTATTAGCTTTTGTTAAAATTTGAATGGATTATGTTAATTTTGAAAGAGTTTTTAAAATTTGAATGGATATTTATTCACAAAGAAATAACACTTATGCAGTCAAGGCTATCCTATTTGTTTTTTTAACTTGTTAAAATTTAAATAAATTATTATTAATTTTAAATGATTTTTATAAAATGTGTGAAGTTTTAAAACTCTTAATTTAAAATTAATAACACTAAATTGATAAATAATATTATTAAAATAATAGGTGTCATTTTAAAATTAATAATACAACATTGTGTCATAACAGATAATATAGTTTAGAAACTTGAATTGTTACATACACACATATATACTGTCATATGTAATTAAATGGGTTGGATAGCCACGAAGCTTTTTTTGGTGGTAGGGGTTTCCGTGTCAGTCCGATTGTTGTTGTAGGTGACAGTGGGAGTGAATTTTTTATTATCTTATATTATAGGTGCAATTTAGTTATTTTACATAAAAATTAATATTTGTTGAAGATTAAGGGAGTACAATGAAATTTCAAAACCTACTGATATTTGATATAGAAATATTTTTCAGCAGTCTTTGAATGATATTTTTTTTTATACTTTTTTTTCTTTTTTCCTTCCCCGTGAAGATACTGAATGAACAGAATTTTTTTTTTATTACTTAATTCATATGCTTTCAGTAGTTCCATTGGCACCATTACTTATTTGATATAGAAATATTTTTCAGCAGTCTTTGAATGATATTTTTTTTTATACTTTTTTTTCTTTTTTCCTTCCCCGTGAAGATACTGAATGAACAGAATTTTTTTTTATTACTTAATTCATATGCTTTCAGTAGTTCCATTGGCACCATTACTTGGTTAGGGATATTTTTAATGTTAATTTCAAACATTCTTGTGCTGATACTGCCTGAAATTCTTATTACACTTCGGATATTCTCATAACTCAGAAGCAGTTTCATTATTTGCGCCCCTTTCCTTGGTTTTTTTAAGTTTTTTTTTTTATTTTTGTTAAATAAGATTAATTTCTTTTACTGCCTTTTGACTGCTTTCACTATTTCAAATAAAGTAAAATATTGGGGGGGGGGGGTTCATGCTCATGGAGGGGTATAAATTGGGCCCCTAAAACAGAGAAAGTGCATTGTTGATCAATCTTGACAGTAGCAGAGAGAAACTTAAAAGAAGTGCTGGAGACAGAGTTGTGGGGATATATTATAATATTTTATAATTTAAAACGAGAAGAGTATATTATAATATAAAGCAAGAGTAGGATCTTGGAGTAAAATGAAGTTTTACAGAGAGAAGTTAGGTGGCTCTGAGGGCAGATTGATGAAAGGTAATAGAGACCCACCAGTGGTAATAATAATGGTTGTTTGGGTGACCACCCGCACACCTGACGCTTCATGATTCACCAGACAGCCTCACCACTCACCTCGCTGGTTTAACGAATCATTAACTCCCCTTTCCATTATTATTGTCCTCCTTTCCCCTCCTTTCCTTTCTTTTCTCCTCTCTCTTTTGCGCTTGAATTTCAAATGTCTTGCCCGTTGGTGAATGCCCATGCATGCCAGACTCGTACCTAATCTCACTTTTTCTCGCCCCCCCCCCCTTCTCTTGCATCTGTCATCTCCCCTAAAATCATCAACTGTGATGACATGACCCCCGAGAAAAATAATTATTTTTTTTGACTTATGGAACCTTTAATTTCTAGGGAATATGCCCCACGAAAGCAAATGTCTGGCTCTCTGATTGAGCACTTCGATTTTTTTTTTATTGCCACCCATGACTCGGAACCATTTTTAAAGACAATAGCAGTATTGTCTTCAACTTTGAAACGGTGGGGTTTGTGCATAATTTAATAGTTATTCTGAAATCCCACTGACGCCCGTCGATATTGGGGTTGGAATTGGATTCCGACGCTCCTCCTTCTGGAGCATCTTTCAGTTTCAGAGATATGGCGGCATGAAGAATAGTTTCCCCGTCCTTGATTATTCAAAGGGAAAGTCGTTCAAGCAACGTCAGCCAATAAAACAAATAATTCTAGAAATTAAGATTTGGTCAATGATTGCGACTTAATGTTAACCAGACACCATTTGCGGGTTTTAACTTTTAATCCCTCTTCTTTTTTCCCCAGAAATCCCTCTAATTCAGAATCATGAAAAAAAATTATCAAATATTCCAGGATTTCTGCAGAAATTTATAAATAGACCCAAAAGGCTATTTCATTTGTGCACTCTGACCACTTAAAATATATATAGGCCAGAATGACCAACTAAAATATGATACCTTATGAAATTTTAATTTGAGTTGGCACTTATTTAACATTTATATTTTTCTTACGTGATATATACTGTTTAAATTATTTTAATCCCTTTTTTTTTTCATCGGCTCTCTCTTCTCTGTAAGAACCCTTCTTCAGCCAGCCGCCAACACTCTTCTTCATCCATGGTTCTCCGCCGCTAGCAAAATGTGTCTGTGTAGTAGTGCTTCTGAGACTCGATCATAAAGATTGCCTTGAAGATGCTTGTGCTGTTCTTTCAGTGGGTTTTTACTGCAAAGTTCTTACTAGCTCCTGGTTTGTTATTTCATATATTCGCATGAACATCGTTGAAAGCGAAGGGCACTTCTTTCCTGATATAGAGAAAACCTCAAACCTTTCGTTCAGATATCTGCATCGCATGATGCTCCTTGTCGGCTTCTGGAAGAACTGAAAAGGAAGAGGAGGGAGAAGAAGCCCTTACGGTCATGAAGTGTAGCCATGGAAACCGATCTTGGGCCCGATCGGAGAAGGCTCGTTCAGTTGGAGACGTAGAGAGCGATGTAAGTCTACAAGACAAAGAATAATGTTTTTTGACCTCGAGACACTGAATAATTTAAACAAAACAAAGAATTTGAAACAATTATAATTAACTCCATTGATAAAGACACATGTGAGATTGCCCTATTCACCATTTTCCCTTCTTGGATATTTGATTTGTTAATATCTTATCTTTGTTTCTCAACCCTATAGTAAGTTATAGGTAGAGTTTGAAAATATCTAATCTTTAATGATTGCATTATACATGATTGAGTCCTAGAAGGAATGAGGCTTTAATAAAAATCAAATACAGAGATTTGTTAGATAAAGAATACATAATACGAATAAATTTATTCAACTCTAATATAAAACATCTTGTTTTTCCCCTTATACAATATTTTAAAAAATTTTCCTGTAAACTACATTTGTTGTAATTGACAAAGGCCTAAATTTAAATGCCATTTTTCTGATTTGTATGTCATTTTCTCAAGACTCTAACAGCAATACACCATATCTCTATGGAATCATTGATGTCTTGAACAAAGTCATGCTAATTGAGTTCCATCTTTGCCTTAGATGATTCAAGTACACAAATCAAATGTGAGAGAATTAAAAGGAAGAATATTTATGTTTGGAAGGAAAGAATATAAAGTATTAAAATTTGGGGCCTTTTATGAATGGATGCACACAATAAGTAGCATATTGTAATTTATTAGGTGTTCAGAAAGAGGAGAAAAATAATTCTCATTGCATGATTAAATGTAATTTAATTAATTTGATAATTTACACATGAAATATTCTGTCAACCACATGTAAATACACAACTTCCGAGAAAATTAATCTTTCAATGTTTCAGTTTCTCAAGAGGCACTAATGAGAAACTTTTGGTTAGAAAATCAATTATGTATTTAATAGTGAAATATTAGAAAAAAGATTTTAATCTTGAATGTTTTAGTTTTTCAAGGAGACTTCTTGTTGAAAAATCAATTATGAATTTAATAGTGAAATATTAGAAAAATGGTTTTTCAAGTTTCAATAAGATAATCAATAATTTAAATCTTCAAAATTTAATCCTTCCCAATATTTGAAGTAACAGATTTATTTTTTTATGTCAAATTTTGAAACTGATATTAGAAAAATGGTTTTGCGGAAGATAATTAAATATTTGAATATTTAGTATTTAATTTTTCCCAACATTCAAAGTGCCTGGGATTTAATTCTTACTATCAAATATTAAATATTTTACATAATTTACACACTTGATAATAAATGTTCATTAATGAAGTAATTGAAGAACATGTGAATGGAATATGAAATAATTAACATTAATGATGAGTTAATGGAAATATGCATTTCTTTTTATTTGAATGCAATAAAAATCAATAAATACTAACCTGAAGGTAGGGTGCATGTTAATAGTTGTTAATAAAAAAGAACCTAAATTTGTAGACGCAGAAGCTAAAGCAAAATGGTGCACTGAACTACCAGCCCTAACAACACTTTCAGCACCTCTAAATCATTCTAGAACTAATGCAGGTTCACTTCTTTACATAACAAACATTGAACATTATCAGAATCATCTCAAAAAGCTTGCGCACTATCTTCCCACCCAGGCTCTTGTATAGAATTATTGTGATTCTATATAAACTAAGGTTCCTTGAACTCTTAAATGCAAGTTGAACCAAGAAAAATAAAAAAAATAAAAAAAAAGCATAAAAACTCTAAAAAGGAGAAAAAACGGCAATATGCCATGGAGGAGGAGGTTTTACTGAGAAAAACGTCAAAACCTACCTGAGATCCCATCATCAAGGTATGAGCATTAGGCTTTATAAATGAAGAAAGGATGATATGATCAAATTGTTTTGGAAGTGAAAATTAAAATTAATATAAAATTAAACTCACAGAATATGTGGAATAGGTAGTGTCATCATCTTCTTCTTCTTCAGCTTGCCATCTCCATCAATATTGAACTGTTAGACACAGTAGGTTGTGTTGATCCCTCCAGTTTTCCCCTAGATTTCACTTTCCGCACTTCCTCATCTTCATACCAGGATGAGAAAATTAGATACACCAGCACAACAAATAAAAAAGAGAAGATGGGATTAAAAAACGAAATATTAAAATAAATTAATCAATAAGAAAATAGAATTCACCTTAGATTAAAGTAATCAGACCAATGTGCAGATGGGATCAAAGTAAAAATAAATAAAGCTTTATTTTCAACTGAATGTTACCCTCAGGACTTCAGACAAAAAAGGGAGAAAGTATATCTAAATTACAAGCTTGCACAAAAAGTAACACAATCAAATAAACCCTTGATGCATCAAACCCACGAGAAGCATCAAATGGACCTAAAAGACTTTGGAATAGGTACTGTCTTCCCATGGACTTAAATCAAATAAAGCTGATATTTGAATCACTATCAATGACAAAGAAAATCAAAATTAAACAAATAATATCATGATATTTAGAAATCATCCCTTCAAGATGGTCTCACGATCTATGTGATCCTGAATTAAAATATCATGAACAACAATTAGCAATGGCCAATAATAATAGTATGGTTCTTTTAATTCTTATGTTATTTGCCAGTGATTTCAGTAAGTTAATATCCAAATTCTCCAAAAACAAGAAAACAAATCACCCACCATTGTCATCTCTGGTCAAGACAGGCTGCCATATTTATCAAATTAGCAAGTCAAGATTCAAGCTCCATTCCCAGTGTTAAAGCACAACAACCCCAGGGATGCATAACCTAGGCTTTTAAAGACAACGAAGTACCTCAAAGTTCAAGATGCATCTCACTAAAGCATCTTAACAGTACTCTTGCATACAAAATTTGAATTTCAAAATTCCAATGTCTTTTGATAATATAAGGAAAAGCAAATGGCTGATAACAAATCAGAAAAATCTGCAAGTAAAGAGATTCCAACAAACCTTTCTCTTCCTCCTTCTTATTCTCTGCATTGGCTTTATTCAATTTCCCTCTCCCAGACCTCGGTGCCATTTTCTTCAATATAACAGACTGCAGGAGACCAAAAGGTGACAGTGCTTCAAGTTGCATGAATTTTAGAATGTCGTGTGAAGTTTCTAACCTTTTCATCCTCAGGAAGGTTTTCAAGATAATCAGCCAGAGGTTTTGAATACTCTGCCAATGTAGTAATCTTGTTAATATATGTGATATCAATTCCAGAACCCTTGAGATCAAGTACTACTGGAAACAATCTTGTTTCTTCAAGAAGGGCTCTCAAGAATACCCAATAACTAAGCTCCAAGAAGTTGAAGAACGAATTAAAGAGCAGTTCAGGTAAAAGATATCAAAGTTCTGTTAAGTGACTTGGAAATGAATCTATCAGTTCAAATAACTTACACGCATCGTTTTATGCGGCAGTACTATTGATAATTTGATTGCTTGTAAAAATTAAAAAATATACAATTAAGATTATTCTAATCAGTGTATCAAAACTCTCGAATCTCCATATTTTCAAAAGGGTTTACTTGACCAGTTAGTGAACCAAAAAAACATAAACATCTGGATCCCAAAATTCAACATACACAACAGATTAGTCAAAGTACAAGTATCTTACTTCCACGATCGAGTAAAAGAATGGTCGGAAGAGCTCCAGGTTTTGTTTTGAAGGAATCCCCTAACTTTGTACACCCTTTATGGTTCTCTTTCAGGCACACGATGTTCCCAGCCATGCTGCCCCCATATTGAGGGATTCCAAAGTTTTCAATTGCGCTATCTTGTATGCCTTTAATCTTCTCCGGCGACGTCATCGTCAAGCTGTTCTTCTCTGAAGCCGAACGGAAACCCTAGGAGAAAACAAAGCGATGACCTCCGAAGTTTCATTTTTTTACACTGTAAGGATGACGAGAAGGAGATACGGAGATTTCTAGAATTTTCAAAGAGCTGTCTAGCGAGAGCCGAGGACTGAGATTGGGAGAATCGATGTCTTCGGAAGAGAGGACTCGTTGCTCGGAAGAGGAAAAGACTCGCTGCCTTGGAAAAGTTAAAAGCTCCCGTAATGATAAGTTAACAATGAGAGAGAAGAATAAAAAATTTAAAATGTATTAAGATTGACTAAATCAATTATATGATAGTAATTCTAACCAATCAACAGCATTCTACAGGATTTATTAATATATATTGATATTGATGATTACAAATGTCAAGTAAATGCCAACTCAGATTAAAATTTCATAAGAATGTCTCAGATTTCTGTTTCCCGCACGAATTTATCAAATTTTGCTGACTAAATCAAACAAATTCAAAATTAGTTATACCAAAACCCCGCCTCGGAACACGTAAACGTATCCGAATCCAAACTTATGTATATGATTTCCATCACGTTAATAATTTAAGAAGTGTTGCCTTGCCACGTTCCTTGAGAGGTTAATATGAACTTAAGAAAACAAAAAAACAAAAACAAAAAAAAGAACAAAAGGCACTGTGGTCCTCCTGGAAACCCCACAGGACTTATGTAGGGTAAGGATAGACCCAATCACCCAAGGAACTGGTCAGGTTAGGCGGCCCAGAAGATATGAAGTTGAATGGGTAGGCTTGGAGGCCCATGCAAATTTCCAAGGGACACAATGACTTAATTCTGTCTCCAGCATGCATACCGTTAAACCTTTGCAATTTGTATTTAATCATCGGCACAAAATATCCGAATACTTTTTTCTTTGAAACGTTCCTAGTGATGGAACCTCTGTATATTTATAAGTCAAGTTTTTAGATGTAAAAGTTCTAAAAAACTTACAACTTTAATAGTGCATCTGTAATTTATAAGTGGATTAAGGTTTATAATTTACTATGATGTTTCAATTCACAACATGGCTAGTGTAAATAACACACTCCTTTATAAATCATGGACATATTGGTTGAACGGTTAATTTTTAAAAACTGATATATAAATTGTGTAAAAATATTTGTAAATAATAATATTTAAATTATCAAAACATTAAATTATATTTTAATTACTTACCAATGTTGTTTTCGATAATGATAATCGAATAATCACCCAGTAATTCATCAACTAGTCAAAATGAAATTTTAATCTTTTACGTGGAAAAAAATACTACTTCCATTTTAAATTATAAAATTTTTTTAGACAAAATCATACATATTAATAAAACTTGGTAAATACACTATATAGCTTCATTTTTCTATAGTAAAAATATAAATTTTTAAAAATACTCTTCATTTAATACTTCATTTATGAAATAATATTAAAAAGATAGGATATAATGGAAAGGATAATATTGGCAAAATATCATTTATGAAATCTTATTCTTATCAAAGTATCTTATATTTTAAAATACCAAATTTCTTCAAAAAATATCTTATAATTGGGGATAGAGACAATAACATTTATCTCTTGATATCTATAAATTTTAAAACCTTAATTGATATTGATTTTATTACAAGAATTTATTTGTAATTTTTTGATAATTTTTTATAATTTTTAACTTATTCTCTTAGTTTTACGATCAACTAATGATTCAAGTTAACTCCTACCAATAGAAGGGATAGTATTGTGCCACTTTTAATTATTGAAGGAAAGCATCTCAACAACAAAAAGTTTAAAATTCAAATCGTCGCTAAACATATAATTTAAAGACAAAATTTTCCTTTTACCATTATTTGTAACATATTAGAGTAAGTACTAATTACTTCCTCAAGCATTATTCTGGTCCCTATTATATCATGTTTTCTATAAGGATTTTTTATTTTCAATATGAGCTATAAAGCACTCGATAGAGTATTATTATATTTTTTAGTATCATTCCTATTTAAACTCATTAATTGTGATAGAAAATATAGTAAAAAAAATTGAAAATATTTCATTCAAATAGTGATAAAATTAAAAATTTATTTTATTTTTAAACATAATTAATAACTTTATTATCTCTCATTAATTTTGACAATGTCGATATAATTGCCTTATAATAGAAATTGAAGAGAATGCATATTTATGAAGAGTAGTTTTTAATAAGATTTATTGCCATGTTGATTTTTAAATAGAATGTTACAAGAGAGTTGACAATTTTTATATTCACATATATTCATTATGGTCTCTATTACAAGTTGCCTTGTTAAAACTCACTGTCTATTAGAGACAATGTAATATATATTTAAAAATTTTTCATTTAAATAGGAGATAAAGTTGAGAGTTCATTCTATTTTAAAATGAAGTCAATGACTCAATTACTTCTCCTCAATTTTTCCTTATAATGGGAATTAGAGGAGCTATAAAAGTTAGTTGAACACTTTGCATATAGTGCCCGTTTGGATTTTAGTTAAGTATAATATATTATAAAAATAATTAATTAAATGATAAATTTTAATTGTAATTGATTATGTTATAATATAACCTATTTGGATACTTATGCTAGTAATTTTTTTAAAGATCTAAATTTTAATAAGAAAAAAAAGAAGAGAAGAAAGTTCTGTTTTATTTTTATTATATTTTGTGTCTTTTTTGTGGTTTTTTTCTCAAACCTTTTATATAATTTTTTCATATAACTTTGTAACAAAAACACACAGAAGCCGAGAAGCTGAAACTTGGAGCTTTGGAAAAATATCAATTTTGAAAAAAAAAAGTTGGTGTTTGGGTAAATTATGGATTAATCAATTTTTCTCCCTAAAATTGATTAATCCCTCAATCCAAACAGGCATATAATTGTCCAAACAAAAAAGAAGTTGTATATGAAAGATGGAACAAATTCTCTAAAATTGAGTTTCATGAGTTTGCATGATTCTTTATATTTTTCTCATTTTTTTATTTTTATAAAACACCTTCTCCATTTTTTTTGTAAGTTATTTCTAACTAACTCACAAAAACCAAAATGGATTCATTAAATTAATAATTTTTCAAAAAAATAAATTTGTTTGGGGCTAAAATGTGAATTTTGCCTTAAACCCAACTATTTGGGCTAAAAGAAATGATTATAGTCTAAATTTACATGAATCTTTTTAGAAGGGAGGTAGTTACTTATTAAAGAGAATAATTGATGCACCACTTTAAAAAAGGCAAAAAGTGGATGACACTTTGAAAAAAATTGTAGCTAGTGTCTTTAAAAAAGTGGAGCATGGAGCCAATAAAAAAAATGTCACTCTGTGTCCATGAAAAGGAAGTCACCACACGTGCATCATTACATAAACCCTTTGAATATTTCATTGATTTAGTCCCATAATGTACTTGTCTAATGCAAGAATTTTGATTCCATTTCATCTTTTACTTTATCCAGTGCAGTTCCTTTTATCCTTCATCAAGTTCAACATAACACTCTTAGCACACTACACATTTAATAGAGAATAGCGAGTTCTCCAGCAATTTGTAGAGTGCCAACGTCTATGGAAACAACAGTAACAATACAGTGTTACCTCTTCTTTTATTTTTTCATATTTTATTTCTTGTAGTTTCTCTTTTATCACATGCAAGTGTTACATGTTTCTCTAGTTTTATTTTTCATTACTTTTATTTTCAAGCACTTGAATTTCAAAAAATTATGTTAAATGATCATGAAAACTCACCATTTGATTTAGAAGTCAAGTAAATCGCACATTTTGAGAACATGTTCTTTTAGTATACCTACACAAAAGACATTGAAAACAAAATTACTTTCCAATTAAGAAAAATGATTTGATGCAGTGAAGATGTCTTTTAGAGTTGAAATATTACACTTTTTTAAAGAATTTGCTAGATGAAATTTTTGAAATTGTACCTCAAATGGTGAGAGAGAGAGAGAGAGAGAGAGAGAGAGAGAGAGAGAGAGAGAGAGAGAGAGAGAGTAACAAAATCTATCCGCAATAGGAGGGACTATAAAAACTTTTAATTAAAATATATTTTTGGTTTTCTAATTTTATATAAGATTTTATTCTGATTTTTTAATTTTATAAAATATATTTTTAATTCTTTAATTCTAAAACTATTAATTTTAAATTATTATTTTTTGTATCAATCATTACTTTTTTAAAATTAAATTTAATAAATTAGCATTTAAGAATATTTTATTAATATTTAATAGGTCAAAATGAGCCGTTTATTGAATTCCACGCCTCTGGAGTTTCTACGCAATCATATTTTTAACGGCAAAGTGTACGCACATGTAATTTTTTTTTTAATTAAAATACATGTCGAAGGCAAAAACTACATTTTTGGCACTGGACTTCATGGTGATCCAGATTTCAGAACGTGGATCTTTCTTATTCACACCACCATTCTCCTTCATTGCTCATGTAATTTATTTCAAAAACGCAAAGAAAAATAAGATTAAGAACATTCATATAATGAGTTATTGTGAATGAATCAATGACGAAATCACGTGATGAAGAAAAAGGCGGGATGGCATGCTGCACGCAGACGCATCCTGTACACTGCAAGAGCAGTGGGAAATTAATTACATGGGGCCAAGTCCACATTGTGGTGCCAATATACTCAGGCGCGAACAAGATTCAGGAGCGAGTGATTTACTTAAAACTCTCTACAAGACATGGAGTATGTGCCTGTGAAGGGGAAGGGGAAGCAGGGGAAGAGATTGATAATGAGAGAGGACGAGGCAGTGAAGAGAGAGGCATAAGTTGGGGATGGGGGTGGTTGACATGGGGAGGAGGGAGGGCAGTGGCGTGCTCTCATGTCAAGAATAGAGGATCCACTCGAGGAGGGAGGGAACAGAATGAATGTGATCTGAATTTGAGATTTGGCGGAAAGCAGAGAATAGCAAGTTTGCTTGAAAGAGAAAGAGTGAGGTCGCATCCCGTTCACCCTTTATGCGACGACCATATATACCCTATTCAATTCCACCATGAGAGAAGGGCCCACCAGCTTTATGGTCATTCCATGTTCCACCTTCTTTTTAATTAGTCAACAATTATTTATTTATCACATTCTTATTCGCCCCCTTTCCCTCTCTCTCAAGCAAAATTCAAAAACATTTGCAATTCCAATGCCCCCAATTATTGACCCCCTCGAACCCCACTCTTCTCCTACAACCGCCTCTTCCTCCTAAAATATGAAAGTATGAGTCACTTCTTT